ACCCTGAGATCGGGGCCACCAGTCCTTACCTCTGAGTCCCTGTACACTTGGTACCCTATACGCCTGGTACACTTCTGAGCACACAGTAGGTGTTAAATAAATGCTCTGAATAAATTTATAAGTGGAGCTCTCAGCACTGACTCCAAAAGCTGAACTCTGCACCTTTCCGGTGGGGACAGATATGCCACTTCATAGTCACTTACTTCTGTCCTGAGGCGTGTTGTCCTGGCCAATGTCCCCCTGTGGTCTAGGCACATGTCACCGAGTAGTTCTGAATCACTCCAACTTCCATGCCACTTCCAGGAGCTTTTTGGAAGCGCATTCAGAATGGCTCCACTTCTCGGTTTCTCTATTAATAGCATTTTTCTTTCCTTTCTTGTTTTTTTTTAATGGCAGAGAAGGTAGTGAAGGAAAAGATGAAATGGCAGAGGGATATCTCACTTCAGATGACCCGAAGGCCCTGGGGCCCCAGAGAAGGAGCGAGGGGTATGAGGCTCATGGAAGCTCATCTCTTGGGGGTGGACATGTCACCTCTGTGGTCTCCCAGAGTCTTTCAGCAGCCACTACAAAGCTGAAGCCCAAAGCAGCCAGGCTCAAGATGGGTCCCATCCATTCAATGCCAGCCTTGGCTTTAACCATCAACAATTTAGGAAAAAGAAGTAGCTCTTAAAGAAGCCTGCCCAGCCTTTAAGTTAGGAATGAGGTGACCACAACCTCCTCAGAGACTTGTTTTCTTAGAAAATCACAGACCATAGTAGTTAAAAGGAACCTCAGAGATCAGCTGGTCCAATCCCCTCACTGCTGAGGCTCCAAGAGGTGAGGGAGCCATTACCTGCTCAGGTAACAGCTGGGGAGGGCCAGAGCCAGCTGTCAGCCCTCAGCCCCTCCGCCCCAGTTGGCCTTCCAAGGAACCCTCACCCACTGCCAAGCTTACTTCTTCTTCAAATTAAGCCTGACCAGAGCTATTTATTCACTCAAAATATAAGCTCATGGAAAGTCTGATTTCTGAATCCAAGGCACGGAACTCGTCCAGGATCACACAGCTCCAAACGGAGAGTCCAGCCCTACAGCGGCGGCTGTCAGGCTTCTGATGACAGTTAGCTCATGGTACCCGCCACGATCGCTTATTGAATGCAGTTATTTTAAGTTCCAGTGCAACCCATTTACTGCTCTCTCAATGGAATGAAGTAACTCAAACACTTGGTTTCTGAGCTTATTAACTTCCAATTTTACGAAACCTTAATATTTTAACTCTTTTTTTTTTTTTTTTTTGAGACGGAGTGTTTGCTCTTGTTACCCAGGCTGGAGTGCGATGGCGCGATCTCGGCTCACCGCAACCTCCGCCCCCTGGGTTCAGGCAATTCTCCTGCCTCAGCCTCCTGAGTAGCTGGGATTACAGGCACACGCCACCATGCCCAGCTAATTTTTTGTATTTTTAGTAGAGACGGGGTTTCACCATGTTGACCAGGATGGTCTCGATCTCTTGACCTCATGATCCACCCATCTCGGCCTTCTAAAGTGCTGGGATTACAGGCTTGAGCCACTGAGCCCAGCAATATTTTAACTCTTTAGCAAAACCAACAGAGCAATAAAAGAAGGCAGCCAACCAGAGCAGGCAGAGCCCCATAAACTGCTCAAAAGACCTTCACATTTCCAAGTTTCGGGTGACTACAAGCTGGAGGCTCAGGACTGTTTCCACCCACCCTTCCCTAAGATGAAGCTCAGGTCCCTGCCACACTTATTTTTTAAGTGACAAAAGGTGTATTTGAATCGCCAACGGTGGAGATGACTCTCTAGCAAACGGCACACTTTAGCAATGGAAAAATGCAACCCTGGGAAGGAGTGACTGTATTTCCCCCACTGCACTGAATGTAAGCTCCCTGTGGGCAGCATCTTTGTTTTATTCAACCCTGTCTCCCCAGAGCTCAGCACAGGGTTGGCACTCAGCTAACGATGACTGCTTATTTGAGGCTCCCATGAAATAATCACCTAAATAAATTTTACAAATAGTCCAGGCCTCTAAGAAGTAAAGCAGCCGTCTAAGCCCTTGGTTCTGCACCAGGTATGTACATAGAGCCTCTGCCTTCAGAGGCCCTGGAATGAGACCAGGAGCAGGCGATCCTAAAAACCTCCCGTGGGGGAATTTCTGGGCACCCCTACAGCTTGCAGGCCTCCGAGTTTGTCTGGACTGCTGTATGCAGAGGGGTGGGCTTTCCTGGAGGATGTATCAGGAGAAGAAATGGACGAGACTTCCACTATTTGGGAATTGTGTTTCGGGTCTCGTTCCTGGCTTCTTGTCCATGTTTCAGCAAAGGTCTGGAATCCTGGCTGGTCTTTTGGGACATGGGGGGATCTGGAAGGGCCTTTCTCTCTTCAAGAGCAGTTTGCTGTCGGACATCTGGTGTGGAAACAGCTTTCCTATAGCCCCTCGACTCTTCTGCTTTTCTCTAGTGAGGGCTGCCCTGATGGAAACTGGAGGCAACCTTGTCTTCAGGCTCCTGAGCCTGCTGAGGGCTGTGATCTGTCCTGTTTCATCTCAAGGCCACGGCCATCTGGAGCCCTGTTTATTTCAGCTGTTAGCTGGGGCTTAGCTGGGGTTGGTTTGTAATCTGTGTTGCTCTGTCAACAGCACAGCATGTGGTTATGAACGAGGCTCTGGCTACAGTTGTGTGGGGTCAGCAGTCCTGAGCAAGGTACTGCTCCATGACTCAGTTGCCCAGCTGTAACTGGGGAAGACTACAGCACTCACTTCACAGGACTCAGGAGGATGAAATGAGTTAGCATGCGCCTGGCACAGAGCAAGCACAAAATACGTGTTAGCCCTCATTATTAGTATCCTATTCGTATTTCAACTCCTTTCTTTTTTGTAATCATCTGCCCAGTAGAGTTGGAGATGACAGATCTTTGTTCCCTAGTCTAAGGGTACACCTTCCCATCCAAACCTGGCCAGTGCATTGTCTTCTGAAATAGACAATTTGCCTTCATTTCCAGAGCCATAATCAGAGATGTTCTCTGAGGTCTATTCATTAAACAGCCAACAGATGAAAGTGCTTTCCTTTGAATGGTGACACGTTCCTCTATGCAAAGATCTACCGTGACCCCAAAGCGCTGGTCACCTGCCTGGGGACCCCTGATCTGATGATATTTCTATCTCTCATCCCCTAGGATGCTCTGCCCCAGACAAAGCCTCCTTATAATATTTGAAATCACAGCACCCACTCCTGCCTCGAGGGGTCTGTCTCCAGATCTGTGTGTGACTTGCTCCAACTTCAGGCCTCTAGTCAAGCGGCACCCCTCGAAAAGGCTCATGTCCACTGCAGCTAAAGTAGCTCTCCCGTCAATCTTTGAGCCAGAGCAGGCAGCCAATTCACCTCATTTAACAATGACATCAAGTGACCTGCCCGTAGGCACCAGCTGCTGAGTTTTGGAGCCTGGCTTGGACTGAATGAAGTCTGCTGGCTCCCAGGCGCCTGTCCTCGGAAACACCGCTGGGAAGTCAAGAGCGGAGTGTGAGATCCAGAGAGGGGGCACAGCGAAGCAGCGCCTTCCACTAAGGAAAAACAGAATGGCTGTGTATCGCAAGCCCCTCCTGTTTGTCTTCATTCATTCATTTATTCATTCACTCATCCATTCATACCAACTGCCTCTGATGTGCCAGACAGACAAACATGCAAACAGTGTCAGACACCCTACAGAGCTCAATAAATATTTGCAAAAGAAGGAGGGAGGGATAAACACAGCATTGTACCCACTCTGTCTCTCCCTCCTTTCAAGGCCACCATGCTCATCCTTCTGCGCCCGTCCCCTCACCGGTACAGTGGGGGCCGGCTGTGAGCCTGATGGCCAGTGGAGACCTGTTTCCCTCCACACAGGGACTCAGCCAACTCCAAAGCTTGTGAAGCAACTTCCCTCACTAGCAATAAATTAGGCTGCTCGCACGGTGCCAGCAACACAGGACCCCGTGCAACGAGACCACAAACAGCGAGACCAGTAACAGCTGGCTTGTTTTGGACAAAAACATGCTTTTTCAATGTTGTCGCCTCACACCCAGAGTATTGCAGTAGTCTAAACTCTCCACCCTGGATGCATTCCGTACTCCACCGCTAGGTCAGCCCTACACTAGGCTTTGAGTGGCCCCAGTTCAAGAACATCTGTGCACAGGGCACAGGGCACACAGCCAGCCTCTTCAGCCATGGACTCTGAGCCACCAGCCTAGCTCACTCCTGCTGCCCTCCCCAAATGTCCCCCAGTCACACTGATCTATTCACCTCCAAACAAGTTTTTGGCTTTGCATATGCTGTTCCCAGCTTTGAGCGAAATGCGCATCCAGCCCACTAGGAAATTTACAGCACCTGACCCCTCTCCCACAGCCTTGGAGTTAAGTGCTGGGCTGACTCCTCTGAATGAGGCTGTCTGGCTTTAAATTCCAGCTGAGTGACCTTGGGCAAGTTTTTCAATCTCAGTGCTGCTATCTGTAAAACAGGGATGAGAAGCTGGGTGTGGTGGCATCCGCCTGTAGTCCCAGCCACTTGGGAGGCTTAAGCAGGAGGATCATTGAGTCTAGGTGTCAGAGGCCGCAGTGAGCCATGATCACACCACTACACTCCTGCTTGGGTGACAGAGAGAGACCCTGTCTCTTAAGAGAGAGAGAGAGAGAAGAAACTCCCTCCTCATAAGACCAAATAAGGTCACAGAGGTAACACACCTGGCACACAGACTGGGTGCTCACTAGGTGTGTGCTAGCATCATGCCCATTCTCGGGTCTCCTGGATCATTTATCTGCGGGACAGCTCTCTACTGCCTAACTAGACTGAGTTTCCTGAGGGCTGTGCTCCTGTGTTGGTGAAATACACAATCATCAATTTCACCCAATTTGGCTCTGGCACCTTCCCGTCCATGTAAGCCAAGCTATGCCAAGCCCCCGTTGGTCATACTGAACGATATTCCCATAAAGAAAAACCTAGACCAGGGCACAGGGCACTCTGCTCTCCTATGCCTCGCTCCTGGCACTGCTCATGTTGATGAGGCAGCGCTGGGGTCGGGCAGCAGCTGCGTGGCTGCGGCCAAGCGCACTGCCAAGCCCCCTTGTCCGGTTCCTGCACCGCGGCACTGGCCGCCACTGAACTCGATATTGTTTTTCCAAGTGGCCTCTGCCTGAAGATGAGGAGCATCTCTCTGCAAGGTCCCGCGAGAGAGTTAAACCTTTCTCCACTCCACTCCTTCCCCCATCACCACCATCTCTCCCGCCAGGACAGATCCTTGTGAGTGCCAGGAGGGAGAGAAGGGTTGACGTCTTTCCCATCACTAACCCGGTCCCTTCTCCGCCTCTGCAGATTTTGTGATCCAACGCCCGATTCAGCTTATTCAAAAGGAGCCACTTTCATTTTTGTAGGGCTGGCTCAAAACGAGGAAAGTAAGACAGGCAGCAAACGCCGCTGAAACGAGCGCGGTGCCAAACCAGTCCCTTCCGGGGGTAGATTTTCTGGGGGAAACCGCGGGGCAGGCCGGCAAACACTGTTCTTCTCCAAAACGGTTACATACAGTTTTCAAGAAGAGGTCCCATGATAAAAAGTAATGCATGGTTCATTTTAAAGGGGACGGAGGAAGCAAACAGAAGAAAAAGCAACAGAAATGACTGAAGCCGCTCTGCAAGGCGCCAGTTCCCAGGTCTGAACTTCTCTCCTCCCTTTATGTTCCTATCCCTCTTATTTGTCCTAGGTCCCCCGCGCTGTGACTGCCCTCAGGGCACCCCGCAGCCGGTCACCAGGCGTCTGGAGCCCCAGAGTGCAGGCCGAGCGCACCGGCATCGTCCGGGCGCGGAACCGGTCCCGGGGTGGGCTCAAAGTTTGGTTTCGAGGCAGCCCGCGGCAAGCTGTCCCCCCGGGGCCCACCTGCCTGTCCCCGAGAGTTGCCCTGGCCACCCCGCAACGCTTCGATGCCCCTCTGCCTGCCCGCCGGTACCGCAGAAGCAAGTCCGGGCTGCGATGGAGAGAGTGGGGAGCTGCCCAGGCGCGCGGCGTAGTACCTTGGCCGCAGGCGCCGCGCTGCAGGACGATGACCGGCGGCTGGCGCAGCCTCTCGGAGCGGCGGCTGGCTGCGCGCAGCTGGCACAGGTTGGCGTAGGTGTTGGCGTCGTTGCCGCACACCGGCTCGCTGCTGGCGCACACGCAGAGGCCGGCCTGCGAGCGTCGCCGCACCGTGGCCGAGGCCGGCACCCCGAAGGGCACCACGCACTGCAGCCCCTCGCCGCACGGGCCCTCCTGCAGGCCGCATGCGGCGCCCTCAGGCGCGCCGCACACCTCGCAGCAGCCACATGCGTCCCGGACCCGGCCGCCCTCGCAGTGCTCCGGAGGCTGCGGGCAGCGCGCCGGCTCGCAGCGCTCGGGGCACCCGGCGGCAGTTCCGGGGGCTAAAGGCGCCGAGCGGCCGGCCCGGGACAGCTGCGCCGATGTGGGCGCCACCAGCAGCAGCAGCAGCAGCGGGAGGAGCGCGGCGCGCGGGGTCTGCATGGCGACTCTGGTGGCGGCGGACAGGGCGAGGACAGGAGAGCGGCGCCGGGGAGAGTGCGGGCGGGCCTCTGGGGCAGCGGGTGCGAGTGCGCGCGGCCGCGCGGCCCAGCCCATTGGCCTCGCAGCGGTGACGAGCCGCCTTGGGGACGGGCACCGCGCCCAGGAGGGGGGCCAGCCGGATGGCGGGAGGGCGGGCGGCTGGACCGGGACGGCCCGCGGCGGGGGCAGGGCGGGCGCATCCGGGCACGGCGGAGCTCGCGGGGCGCGGGCGGGGCAGCGCCCAGACCCGCCCTCTCGCGGGACTCAGTTTCCCCCTCTGCGCGCCCCATCTATTCGCCTTCCGCGGGTTCTCTCGCCGCGATTCGCGTCCTTAAAACTAAAGGAACTTTGCTAGAGGGTCCTGTGGCGGCTCCGCGCGGGAGAGTCGGGGAAAGTTCCTGCGAATCGCCCGGTTGGGGGCCCGCCGGGAGGCTCGAACTGGGCGGGGCAGGGACTGCTGGGGCCGCTGCGCAGACCCGGGGCGTTGGCGGCACCGCGGACCCCGCTCAAGGGCTGGGCCTGCCTCCGGTACCCCGCACGCGGAACCCTGACGCGGGGCTTGTGCAACGGTATGAAGGCGGCGTCTGTGTCGCCGACAGAAAGCCCGCGCCCGACCCACAGTGAAGTGAGAAAAGCAGAGAGCCGAAGTGATTCGAATGGAATCCTTCACGCGTCTGATTCTTTTACAAAGTTGTTGTGGGTGGGACGCGTGTCCGTACACGCAGAGAGCTCAGGAAGTGGCTGGGAAGCTTGTAACTGGCGGGGGTAGGGCAGACTCCGATGGGAAAGGGGCTTTCTACTGTTTGAGTTTTTCACCCCGTGCGTAATTATTTTAAAACACTTTTGTTATCAAAAATGTGATTTCTCACTGGAGAATCTTTGGTCATCCTTTGGGACAGATGCGAGTCTGAGAGTCATTGGGAGGGCCGAGGGCGACCCTGGAGGTGGGTCTGGGTGTCCAGGCAGCGCCAGGCCTGTGGGCACAGTAGTCCTGGGTCCACACACAGCAAATGGGTACAGCTTGTATCCGAAGACCTGAGAGGAGGCGGTTCGCCCAGCCCTCACCCGCAAGCCTCAAATCTCCACCCCGACCCTGGGCAGAGGCACCCAGGGCCGAGTGGGCCGGCAGAGCTAACCTTGGGATACAGTAGCATGGGAGGGGGCTGGAGGCTTGGGAAGTTTAATATTCTTCTGTATTTGGGTTGTTCTCTTGTACACATGTTACTTTTCCAATAAAAACAGTTTACAAAGTAACCTCCAAATACTTATAAGCCCTCTCAAAGCACCTTCCAAATATGAGCCTTGTTAATGTTCAAGGTCCAGAGGAGTCCTGCAGCAAGGCCCAGCAGCCTAGGGCATGGGAAAAGCTCTCAGGGTCCCCATGCTGCCTCCCTGGACTCCATAGCGACATTCCATCAAGCCAGGGCCTCATGGCTGCGGGAGGGAGGCCTTGACCCAGAATCCATTCAGCCCTGGATACTGGAAAGGCAGAGGCCTCTGCTGATGAGAAGCCCTGAGTTCCTGGCTAGCTGTGTTTAACCACAAAAAGTCAGGCAGTTGTGATGATTTTCAAAGTCCATCAGCAAAGAAAGACTCCCCACTGTAATCCTGGGGCAGATGGAACTAAAAGGGCATGTGGTGATGAATACATTGGTGAGAACTTATTTTTGTCAAAAATAAGTTCTCTTACTTTACAGAGGAGAAAACTTATTTTCCCTTATTTTACAGAGGAGAAAACTGAAGGCCAGAAAGGGTGACTCCCCTGATTGTCGCGCCACAAATTGAGTGATGGAGCCAGGACACATCCTAAACCAGCGGTGCCTGCCTGCAAGCCCCATCCTCCCCCGGAGCAGCCAGACTGCATAGGGAATGAGGGGACCAAAAACAGTGTGGCCGAAGCTTCCCCACTGCTTTGCGGGAGGTGGGGGGAGTTTCTAAGCTCTTTCTCTGTCGGGGAATTAGGTAGCTGGGGGTCCCACTGAGTCTGCACCACCCTCTCACCCATTCTCACCCCTCCCCCACCGCACATACACTCTCCTCCCCCAGTGCTGAGTAAGTTGCATTTTCTGGAACATAGCTCTCTACTTAAGGTCTCTGTGCCTGTGCCTGCATCTCCCCTCTTCCTGAAACATCCCTCCTTCCCTGCAGCATGGGCTAGTGTGACCTAGAGAAGCAGGTGGGAACCTTGTCATCTGCGGGACTTGGGTTCAAATCCCACTTCTGGCCCTTAAGTCTGTGACGCTGCGCCTTTATTTAATAACTGGAGGAGTTTCATTAGGAAAATGGCAGTGACTGCGCATCTCCCTGGAGTGACTGACGTGCCACCGACAAAGTTCTATTCGGTCAGTGCTAGGTCCCGTCGTCCATCTCGCAGGCTCCTCTTCCATCCTCGTGCTCCCACTCAGTGCCCTTTCCTCTGCCTCCCACTCTCTGCCCTGCTGTTCGTGCCCGCATCACTTCTTCCCCAGGGCAGAAGCCCCGAATTCTTCACTCCCAAACGTCCCAGTGCCATCACAGTGCCATGGCAATTTATTCGGCACTGGGGGAGTAGAGTGTATGTGTGGTGGGGGGGGGGTTGGAGAATGGGTGAGAGGGTGATGGAGACTCAGTGGGACCCTCAGCTACTAAATTCACCCAAGGGACTGTCTGCTGAACTGGACCCACTCCTGTGATGGTTCACAGCCTAGAAGAACCATTTGTAACCACGGTGACCAGTAAGTGCAAGACATGGGGCCACATGGCTGTTTTAGAGAAGGAAGACAGCACTACCCTGAGAGCCATGCTGCTGGCTTCATCAGGAAGAGAGACAACATGGGCAGGACTCCGGGGCCAAAGTGTCCCTAAGAAGCAGAATTTGCAATACCCAAGGTTTTAGAAAGAGCAACCTGGAAGGGCCACTGCACCACGAGATCACAGGATCCTCTCCCAGCTGTGAGTGCAGCTCACCCCAGCTGCTCTGACCCAGGCACGGGTTATGACAAAGACAAGCAGCTCTACAGAGGGGCCTCGAGAAATCCTCTGAAACAGAGAAATCAAAGTCCTGTGGACTGTCCACCTGGGAGGCTGTTAGCGTGCGTGCCTGCGTGCATCCATCGGTGGGCAGACGAAGAAGGAGGTGGTAAGACCCATCACCGACCTTCCCTTAGTCCTAACGTCTCCATATCTGGACATAATGCTTTCAACCTGCAAGTGTTGTTCTCTCTTTTACATTCTTCCCTATCTACTGCCATTTACAAAGATGGTTTCTTAAAAGAAGCATTTTTCTTTTGATACATCATGAAAATTCATTTCTCACTCACCAGGCCTTGGCACAGTATTCTAGAGAGGATTTTTCCAGAGAAAAGGGGACAGTTTTGAAGCCAGGCAGGCAAGTTCCCCAACATCCTCTCTGCAGCCCTCATTTGCAGCATTGAAGCTTTAGTTTTGAACAGGGCCAAGTCTACTCATGAATAATGAACAGTGTAACACCAGAGCTGCCAGAGCCTTAATCAGGAAACGAGGCTTCTGAATAGGAATGGAGCAGCCATGTTTGTGCTGCCCAGGAGGAGGACGATTTCCCACTCCAGGCCTCTGTTCTTCCAGATGTACAAAGGACCCCCCAGAATGCTCAGGGGCTCATATTGCCTTTCCTAAGTCACAGGATCTAAGCTCTAAGGAGCTGTATTAATAATTTTGGGTCTTCCTATAAGCTTATCCTATCACTCCACTACTCAGTAATTTCCAGGGGCTCTCAATGCCAGTAGGATGAAGTCCAAGCTTCTTACCCTGACTTCCAGCATTTCCCATGCCCCTTAAGACAGGTTGTCCTCTAGATCCAGGATGGTAGAATCCATTCCTACTCACCCATTCTCCTGTAGCAACACAGCCCTGGCTGGGGCCATGCCAGCAGGTAAAAGATGACTTTGCAGATGGTTTTGCCCCCTTTCCTCCAAGTGCCAGGCCCACTCCCATCCTCTCTGGCCACCCCAGCATCTCACAACCTCCTTTCACAACAGGTACACCCTGATGACAATCCTACATCAATTCAGTGAGGTTCAGTTCAGGAGAAATTTCCTGAGCCCCTGCTACAGGATAGCCACTGCTAGATACTGTAAAGGAGTGTCAATGACCGATCCCCCGTCCTCAAGAAGCTCCAAGTCTAGAATGTTCTGTGATGATGGAAATATTCTCTATCTGTGCTGTGCAAGAGGGTAGCCACTAACGACATGTGACTGCCAAGCATTTGAAATGCAACAAGTACAAGGAGGATCTGAATTTTTATTTAATTTTGATTAAGCGTCCATCACTCGGGAGAGCGTGGAGGGTAAGAAAACAAAGGCAGGATGACAGGCGGGAATGCAGTGACAGAGAGGAATCCAGATGTCAGGAGGAGATTGGGCTGCATCTCAAGGGTTGAGAGGATTTCACCAGCTGAACAGAGCAGAAGCAGCACGCAGTTGGTGGTGACGTGATGAGTCTGCGCGAGTGGGGAAATTCCAAGTTGCGCACTGTGGCCACAGGCGGGAAGAGGTCCTGTGGGCAGCCAAGGCAGCTGGAGGGAAGGGGACCGGTCCAGGTTGTGAGGGACTCCCTTTGTCCTCCTAAGGACTTTGGGCTGCACATTTTTTTTTTAATTTTTTATTGGATTTTAGGTTTTGGGGTACATGAGCAGAGCATGTAAGACAGTTGCGTAGGAACACACATGGCAGTGTGCTTTTCTTTCCTTCTCCCCTTCATCCACATTTGGCATTTCTCCCCAGGCTATCCCTCCCCACCTCCCCCCCCACTGGCCCTCCCCTTTTCCCCCCAATAGACCCCAGTGTTTAGTACTCCCCTTTCTGTGTCCATGTGTTCTCATTTTTCATCACCCACCTATGAGTGAGAATATGCGGTGTTTCATTTTCTGTTCTTGTGTCAGTTTGCTGAGGATGACGTTCTCCAGATTCATCCATGTCCCTACAAACGACACAAATTGATGCTGATGAGAAGCTCTACTTGGCTTTTAATGAGATATATTTTGGCAAAATCACCGTGCTGCAGTCTGGATGATAGATTGAAAAAAGAAATAGATTCATTAGTATACTTTTTGGTTTTTTGTGAGGCAGAGTTTCATTCTTTCACCCAGGATAGAGCACAGTAGCACAATCTTGACTCACTGCAATCTCTGCATTCCGGTTTCAAGTGATCTCCTGCCTCAGCCTCCCAAATAGCTGGGATTGCAGATGCCTGCCATCACGCCTGGCTAATTTTTGTATTTTTAGGACAAATGGGGTTTCACCATATTGGCCAGGCTGGTCTCAAATTCCTGACCTCATGATCCACCTGCCTTGGCCTCCCAAAGTGCTGGGGGATAACAGGCGTGAGCCACCATGCTCAGCCTATAATACACATTTTTAAATATAGACATGTGACTATATTTTAGGTTGAGGAGCACTTTGAATTAAAGATGCAGTTAATGTAACGCAATAGTGTGAGAAGTAAAGACACTGCAATCGTTTTGTAACAATTATATTGTTTCTGTATGATCTCTTCAATGTAGACCCCTCCTTCAAAACAGGACAAAGGTGAGGAAGTTCAAAATATTTTGGAGAACTTTTTTTGGGGGTGGGGGACAGAGTGTTACTCTGTTGCCCAGGCTGGAGTACAGTCGTACGATCTCAGCTCACTGCAACCTCTACCGCCCGGGGTTCTAGCAATTCTCCTGCCTCAGCCTCCCAAGTAGCTGGGATTACAGGCGCACACCACCATGCCTGGCTAATTTTTGTATTTTTAGTAGAGATGGGGTTTCACCATGTTGGCCAGGCTCGTCTCGAACTCCTGACCTCAAGTGATCAGCCCACCTTGGCCTCCCAAAGGGCTGGGATACAGGCGAGAGCCACTGCACCCGGCCTATTTTTGAGAATTTCTGAAGCACTCTAGAATTACAGTACTAGCATTTCTTCTTTTCTTTTTTCTTGTTTTTGAAATAGGGCAGCCTCCTGAGCCAGAGTAGGCCCAGAGACTCCAGTACTAGCACTTCTGATATCAAATCATAAAACTTTCATGTCTATTAGTTAAATAAGGATACTGAAAAGCCAATCCCAGGTCTGCTGCTGCTGCTGTTTCCTTTTAAACCTTTAAAGTCTATGGATTTGTAAAGATCTAGAGTTCAGATCTTTTATTCGTTAGGCGAACCCTTCCCCTAAATTGGTTGCATGAGAACAGCAGTTCATCTCTGCATTACTTGGCTCCTTCCAACATATTTATTTGCTTTAGAAAATTAAAACCATGGCATGCGATCAAATTTTTCACTCTTCGTGGTAAAGTATCAGACAGATACAATTTAAACAGAGCCTCAGGCATCTACCAAAAGGGCTTGAATGACAGCTTGTCAATTTTCTATTATTCGGAAGCAGCTTGAAAAGCTGAGCGTGCTCACGTTTAGAACATGCTGCCATTTAGGCAAAATGGTTTGACATTGAATCAAGGACTTTATGAGCCAGAATTTTAAATCTGCTTGTAAAAAACGTTAAGAGAGGGAGGAGGTTCAAACTGAGTTATTTCATTTGTCTAATTATGTAGGCACTACAGCAAGCATGAAGCGCCACCGTTCCGTAAGCGTTAAAAAGCATTTACTAAGCTCATTTGGCTACATGATCTCTAAGACGCTTGATGTCTGAGTTTTAAACCAACATGACCTAGAAGGCCCAGATTCTTTCTCTACAAACTTGCATTGTTGTTTTCTTACACATACAGCCAAGGCATTTTTTAATCCATAAGCACTGGAAAGCAGTGAGAACCCTGAAAGAATGGTACAGCTTTCTAAATGACTCCTCTAACAACTCGGACGAGAAGCAGCTGACAGCTGAGGTTTCTGCCTCCTTCAATAAACACTAAAGCCAGCTCACCTGGTCCAGGGGCCACTCGGATGGCCTTCTATGGGCTTTGGGTTTCCACTCACCCTGTCACTTTCTCAGACCTACTTTGTCTTCTTGTTTCCTTTGTCTGGCATGTAGCAGGTTCATTGGAAGTACTTACTGAGATTCCCAACTCTTCAGCTATATATAGACAAATGAAATAACCCAAAGGTTGAACCCCCTCCCTCTTTCAATTTTTTTTTACAGACATATTTAAAATTCTGGCTCATAATGTCCTTGATTCAATGTCAAACCATTTTGCCTAAATGGCAGCTATTCAACCAGAGGAGGGCAGAATTGACCCTGGGCCCTGCCTCGAACTTCCTGTGGCCAGTGGTGCTCAAACCTGAGCATGCATCAGAAGCACCTGCAGGGCTGGTTAACATGCGGGCTGCAGGACTCCACTCCAGAATTCCCGATTCAATAGGCCTGGGGTAAGGCCTGAGAGTCTGCCTTTCTTACCAGTGTCGGGTGGTGCTGGGGCTGCTGGTCTGAGTACAGAGGAGGTTCCAGCAAGAGAGAAAAAGGCTGGTAAGTAGGGCTCAGTGTGGATGTTAGCAGCTGGTATCATGGAGTGTGATAAAGAGTTTGCTCCTCTGTCTGTAACCGGCTCCGTCTCCCACAACTCCAGCGTCCAGCAGACTCTCGCAGGGTGGAAATGAAGGACACATGAACCACCGAGGAGGGCAGACTTGCCATCCCAGGCCCTCCTTTCCCCTCTGCCTCAGTTACCATCCGTCTTGGGTGTAGGTGCAGCATGTAGAGTACAGGGACATGCTGCTGTGACAAGGGTGCTGTCCACCCTTGCCAAGCCAGCTGCCATCTCACTTAGCCAGGAGCACTGTCTTTTTCCATCGCACAAAAGTGCCCCAGGAGTCACGGTGCCCTGATAACTCCACCCTAAATTGTTGGGTGGTCTCAGGTAGGGTGAACCCCTCAGTCCTGCTCTGCCAGAGGAGGTGACAGAGGTCCCTAGTATCCACTGAAATCATCTGTGAAGCTTTTAACAAATGCTGAGACCCAGGGATTTGTAGAAAAACTTGATTGTAGATCATATTATTGAATCTATGTTGATTTTCCATTTTGATCATGTTACTGTGGTATGAGAACTTTTTTTTTGTTGTTGTTTTTTTCAAGAAAAACGCACTGAAACATTTAGAAGTAAAGGACGTGCAGCTTAAAGCCTGCAACCTAAATGTTTTAAATGTTTCACATGCTTTAAATGTTTCCAAGAACTCGAATGTTGTAGCAAGGGTGGCAAGAGTTAGCATTTGGGAAATCCAGGTTAAGAGTAAATGAGAGTTCTGGGTTTTGTGGGCTTTTTTTTTTTTTTTTTTTCTATTTTTCAACTTTTCTCTAAACCTAAAATTATTTCAAATTAATTTTTTTTTTTTTTTTAGTTGGGGTCTCATTCTGTTGCCCAGGCTGGAGGGCAGTGGTTCAGCCACAGCTCACTCTGGCCTCAAGTGGTCCTCCCACCTCAGCCACCTGAGCAGCTGGGACTCCAGCATAGATGTGCACCACAGAGCCCAGCTATTTTTTATATATTTTGTAGAGGCCAGGTTTTGCCATGTTGCCAGGCTGGTGTCAAACTCCTAGGTCAAGCAATCTGCCTGCCTTGGCCTCCAAAAGTGCTAGGATTACAGGCATGAGCCATCATGCCCCAGCACCCCCCCTTTTTTTTTTTTTTTGAGACAGGATCTCACTTTGTCACCCAAGCTGGAGTCCAGCGGCATGATCATGGGCTCAGGTGGTCCTCCCACCTCAGCCTCCCAAGTAGCTAGGACCACAGGTGTGCAGCACCATGCCCAGCTGATTTACATTTTTTTTTTTTTGTAAAGATGGGGTCTCCCTATGTTGCCCAGGCAGGTCTTGAAGTCCTGGGCTCAAGTGATCCTCCTGCCTCAGCCTCCCAAAGTATTGGGATTGCAGGTATGAACCACTTCTCCCAGCCAAAAACTTTTTTAAAAGGAAAAAAGAAATTACTCTAGGAGCACCACTAAGCACATGATATCAAAACCACACTGAGATACTACTTCACATGCACTAGGGTTGCCAGAATCAAAAAATCAGATGATAACAAGTATTGGCAAGGATGTGGAGAAATCAGAACCCTCATGCACTGCTAGTGGGAGTGGAAAGTGGTGTAGCCGCTTTGGAAAACAGTAAACAGAGTCAGCATATGACCCAGCATTTCCATTCCTAGGTAGCTACCCAAGAGAAAGGAAAACATGTGTCCACACAGAAACTTAAACACACATGTTCACAGCAGCACTATACATAACAGCCAAAAGGCAGAAGCAACCCAAACGTCCATCAACTGATAACAGATAAACAAAATGTGGCATATCTATACAATGGAATACTATTCAGTCACAAAAAAGAAGAAAATACTCACTACAACACGGTGAACCTTGAAAGCATGGTGCTAAATGAAAGAAGCCAGATGATTTCATTTATAAGAAATGTGTATAACAGGAAAATCTACAGAGACAGAAAATAGATTCGTGGTTGTTTAGGGCTGGAACAGTGGGGAAACACTGGGCACACTGGCTCATGCCTGTCATCCCAGCACTTTGGAAGGACAAGGCGGGCAGATCACTTGAGGTCAGGAGTTACAGACCAGCCTGGCTAACATGGTGAAACTCTGTTTCTACTAAAAATACAAAAATTAGCAGGGCGTGGTGATGCACACCAGTAATCCCAGCTACACAAAAAGCTGAGGCAGGAGAATTGCTTTAACCCAGGAGGTGGAGGTTGCAGTGAGCCGAGATTGTGCCACTGCACTACTGCCTGGACCACAAAGCCAAACCCCATCTCAAAACAAAGAAAAAAATTAAATACAAAATAAAAAGAATAGCTCAAGAGTATGGGGTTTCTTTTTGAGATATGGAAAATGTTTTAAAATTGGCTGTGTTGGCTGGATATGGTGGCTTACGTCTGTAATTCCAGCACTTTGAGAGGCTGAGGTGGGCAGATTACTTGAAGTTAGGAATTCCAGACCAGCCTGGCCAACATGGTGAAGGCCCATCTCTCTTAAAAATAGAAAAATTAGCTGGGCATGATGGTACACACCTGTAGTCCAAGCTACTCAGGAGGCTGAGGCAGAAGAATTGCTTGAACTGGGAGGCAGAAGTTGCAGTGAGCAGAAATTGCACCACTGCACTCCCACCTGGGCAACTCCATCTTAAAAAAAAAATTGATTGTATTGATGGTTGTCCGTATCCATGAATATACTAAAAACCACTGAAAATGCGTAACTTAAGTGAGTGGATTATATTTTATTTAAATCATATCTCAATAAAGCTATTTTTAAAAACTCAGAGGGAGGAGGGTAGTGACTGAGCATCCCTAATGTCTCTAATTTGAAGAGCCCCCAGAGCCCCCAGTGAGCAGCAGGGCTGAGAACCACTCACAGGCCGTTTCTGTGTACCAACACTATGCAGATCCACATTTAAGCCACCCAGTTAGCCTGGACCCAGAGTGATGTCCTCAGGCATCTAAAATCAGTAGCACCAGGTATTTTATTTGTCTAACTCATAACCCGTATTTAATCAGCCAGCCTGTGTCTACATGGGCCACCACATTGTCTTTCTCAGTCAGGTTGGGAGTTGCCTGGCACAGGAGCCTGCCTTGCCCACTGTGTCCAGACAACACCCGCCACGTAGCAGGCGCTAGTCTCGTGTTACTTGCATTAAACAGATGCTTGCAGCAGAAGGTGTAGTACTGAAGTCATGCATTTTTATCTTAACTTTCATTTACTTTCTGCCCTTAAAATTGATTCCATTCTTGATGTGACTTTCAGCTGTCAGCTGTCTGCACTCCCAGATGAGGTGATGGCCTGGCACCATCGGAGCATTGCCCTGATGAATCATGGTTGAGGTACTTTTCCACTGGGCCAGCTGCCACAGCCCCTTCTCCATCCTTCCGAGAGCTCTGTCACCTTGCCTTGCAGACACTCGTGTCTCTCCCAGTGGCCTCCACTGCTTTGGGGCAGTTTCTGGATGCCCAGGCCTAGTCCAGTGCTAGCACCCAGTTAATTCTCTCTTCCTTTAAAGGGAACAATTACCACCTTGAGGAATGAGGCCCCAAAGCTGAGTCTCTGCTATGGCATCCGCCTTCTTCTCACGAAGACCTGCAGCTTGAAAGGAGGGGAGGGAGAAGTAGCCCAAAGCTCCAGGAAGACCAAGCCCAGCCGCTGTGATGATTCCAAGGAAATTCAGGAAATCCTTGCTAATGGCCAGACTTCCCGGGTTTGAGATGCAAAAGGAAATCAGATCCCCAGGGTAATGCTTTTACACTAAGCAAGAAATTGCAGGATATAAAGCTGTGCAGACCGCTGCCCCTAATTAAGAAAGCAATTCTGAGACTCCAGCCTGGAAGGAACTGGTCCTCGGTGTCGACTGTAGTCAATTCTGGGTGGAGGGGTGATGGGGGATAATGTCTTCTTTTTATTTTCTATACTGCGGGGGGCGGGGATGGGCAGTTAAAAATCAAAGGAAGGAAACATAAAGCTAAATCCTTTTCCATCCATAGCCGTTCAAGCTACTGCCTGGTCACGTTCTCCTTGAAGCTGGGGCTCCTCTCTCAGGCCCCACCTAACATGGCCTGGCTCCTTCCTGGGGTCACTCCTTGTTCCTCAAGCACTTCAAATTCAACCTCTCCTGCCTCTGAGCTCAGCATCTGGGCCTCTCCCCTTTCTTTATAAGCTCCATCCATGACAGCCTTCTGTGGGTCAGCCACATGCTTCACACCAAATGAAAGAAGAAGCTTGTTCCAAATCTATGTGGTTTTTTTGACATTTTAGAGAGCAGACGCTTTCCTACGCTAATTCCCTATTACATCTATACGTCTTTTTAAAAAGTCTTCAAGTCTTTTTAGTGTCCAACATCACTTATTCCCTCCCTTTCTTTTTCCCCCGTTTCACCTGCCCCAGTCCTCAGGACAAGTGCTGCTGTTTCCTGCACAGCGCACACAGTGAACCCTGAAAGCATGCTGCTAAATGAAAGAAGCCAGGTACAAAAGACAACATACTATATGATTTCATAAGAAATGGATATAACAGGAAAATCTACAGAGACAGAAAATAAATTCGTAGTGGTTTAGGGGCTGGGAGAGTGGGACGAGACCTCTCTATAGAGGCGGCAGTGCCCGGGATTTCTTTGAAGATGTTTAGATATCACAGCATAATCAGACAATAGTGAGGACAGTCTGGCATTGGTATACAGATGACAAATAGATCCATGCAATAGAAGGGAAGCCAAACCAGATTCCAACCTGCCTCCAGTCACCTGATTCAACAAAGTCAAAGTCACAAATCAATAGGGAGAGGATGGTCTTTTCAGTAAATGATACTGTATCAATTGACTCGTCATATAGAGAGAAAAAAGGAGCCTTGGTCCCGTGCACACACAAGACACAAAAGTTCCTTCAAAGTGCATCTTAGACCTACATTCAAAAACAAAAGCAACGCAGGGTCCAGGAGAAAGGGCCCAGGCAGGAGAATATTTTTATGACCTTGGGCTAAGCAAGAGATTCATTAACAGGACATAAAAACCACTAACCACCAAGAAAAAATGACTGATAAATATGACAATTAAAATGAAGGATTTATGTTTATCAAAAATAAAAAGGGGAACCATCAACTGGGAGAACATAGTTTCGATACTTATATCTAACCGAGAATTTATATTCAGGTTAGATGACTCAAAAACAAAAACGTAAGCAATCCACTAAGAACAAATTCTGGGTGGAAGACTTCACAGAAGATCTACAGATGACCAGTGACCTCAGGAAAACACGGATTAAAACAGCAAGGAGACACGCCCACGAGCTGCGTGACAGTTTTGAAAATGAAGTGAAACCCTGAGGCTGGCAGAATACTAAGGTGGTGTCACAGATTCCCACCCTTGGTGTCCGTGCCCCGCACTACCCACTTGAGTAGGGGAAGACCTGTGGATATGATGGGTGTCTCCTCTGTGATCAGGTTATATCATATGTCAAAGACAGAGGGATTTGGTGATTAAGGTCTCTAATCAGTTTACCTTCAAGTTCATCAAAAGTGAGAGTGGCCGAGGTTGGCGTGACCTACTCAGGTGAGCCCTTTAAAAGAGAGCTCAGGCCTGCCCTGAGCTTGGAGAGATTTTCCAGCTAGAATTGAAGAAACAAGCAGCTGTGAGTTCAGCTTCACAGAAACAAATTTGGCCAACAGTCATGTGAGCTCCATTAGAAATGCACCCCAAGCCCCCTCAACCTCTCCCATCCCCAACGGCACCAATCTCCTGATTATCTATACCTGATAGCAGGGCAGGAACTAGACTCTGAGCCCCGTAAGGACAGACTTGTCTGTCAGTGCATTTAACTATCTGTCCCAGAACCTTGCACAGAGTCCAGCACATATCAAGAACACAGCACATTTTTATTGAGACAGGCTCTTTAAAGCTGAAATCTAAAACCAATGGCCCCTAAATTCAGCAAAAAAAGGTTAATGTAACACCTGTGCTTTTATTACCCATTTCTACAGATAGAAGGGTTGGTTGTATGCGGCTATCACAAGTGAAATGCAGAATCAGTTAATAAAATTTTCATCTGAATTTAAAGAAAATCCTAAATAATAAGATTTCCTTATTGCAGTTTTGTTGGTACCACCGTGGAGTAGATTGCACTATTCAAATAATCATTGCCTTCCCTATAGAAGAATTATATTAGGTTAAACCAAATACAGTTGAGATATTCAATCACTTTTGACGTCATAAAATGCCAGTCTTGTATGGATTTTCAACCTAATTCTTCCCTGCCCCTTTAATGTCCAAGTTGACCATGTCATTTTCTATGGCCAATAAAATATGATCTTTAGTGGCACATGTCATTTCTTAACAAAGTCTTAGTGAGTGCATGTTGGCCAGCGTGCCTTTTCCCTCTGCCGTGACCACCAGACATTTCCCAGATAGATGCTGTTCAACTTGCTTCGGTCTCAGAGTGAAGTGACAAAGAGCAGAGACAATCCACCTGGACATATAGCATAACTGAGCAATAAACCTGTGTCGTTATAAGCCATTGAGATTTTCATTACTATTGCATAACCCAGCATGCTTTATCAATACATCCTCTTTTGCTTTGCCTTGCGATAGAGGTACACTGTGTGTGTCTGCCTCACTTACATCCCAGAGTCCAGCAAAATTGCTTGTCCATAAGAAGCCCTTGAAAAATACTGATTGAATTTAATTAAGTACGGCACTTTTTTCTGCTGGGAAAAGAACTGGCTGAACACAACCAAAGACATTTTGCGGCATTTATTAATTCCTGTTCTACTTTTAAGCCTAAGGATAAGAGTCACCTGTGAGCCAAGCTGTATTATGTCAGCAAAAATCCCAGAACAATTAAGCCTCCTTTAAAGCTGGTTTGGAGCTGTTTCCAGAATCAGCAGGAAATCCAGAGCTCAGTGTGCCTGGTGCTAGCTCCACCTCTGGGGGCCCTCATGTCACTCTGAGCAAGGCAGTAGGAAGTGGGAGGTGAGTTAGGACTAGTTGTCCGTAGACCTTCATAGATGGGGAGTTATAAAGCAGTGAGAACCTCTCAGTGAAAACTGTCAGAGGTTTTCGTGCAGGGGAGTGACCATCTGATGTTTTAAATGTTGTGAAGGGTTACTGGCTAGAGAATAGATTATAGAGAGACAGGAGTAGAAACAGGGATAGAATAGAAATTCTCTTAGAAATCATAAATTACCAATTTTGACAAAAGAAAAAAAATCTAAGTAAAACAGTATCTATGGTGAAAAAGAAATATTTATAGAAACAAACAAAAATCACTTCTGGAAAAATTCTTGAAGCTAAATGGTTTCATGGTTGAATTCTTTGAAACTTCACATAAACAGATTTTACGTTCTTTCAACTGATACTGACCATGGGGAAGAAATGAAGAACTTCCCAATTCATTTTGTAAAGGAAGTACATCCCAGCACCGGAACTTGTCAAAGTAGCATCCTTTCTCCTCCTGGAAAAAAAAAAAAAATCTACAAATCAAAATCACTGATGAGCATAGGTATGGAATCACTAAAGATAATATAAGTAAGCCCATCTGGTATTATGTTAAAGAATAGAATATGAATAAAAGAATGGCATAGTATTAACACTTATGTTAATTTATCACATCATCTTATAAATTGCCAAAAAGTATCTAATACTCTATATCCATTCCCGAGGAGAATTTATTTTGTAAACTAAAACACTAAGAAACTTAATATGATAAAGAATATTTCAAGTCAACAGCCAGCATCATACAAAATAACAAAACACAAGACATTCCCACTAACACCTGGCCTAAAGCAACAGCCTAGCACTAGAAATTCCGGCCAATTCAGTAAGAAAATAAGTAAATAAAAATTGGGAAGAAGTACGTAAAAGAATCATTTATTGCAGATGATACCATTGTGTTACTGAAAACACAAGAGAATCAACTAAAAAAAAACTAATAATTCAGTACAGTGACTAATATAAAAATTAATTTAGATAAGCATAAGTTTCTCCATAGACCAGCAATAAACAGCTAAAAATAGAAAAAAAATTTTAGAACCAAAAATATAACTAGGAAAATTAAATATAATGAAAATATAAATATTAATTTTTTTAAATAAATAGGAATTTACTTAACAAACAGGAGTATGAATACAATTACTGAAGGATTTAAATAAAAACTTGGCTCAATGCAATGATGTACTATAATATTCCTAGATGGGAAAAACATATGTAACTGGAATTTTCCAACTCCTTCATCTGTAGATACACAAATCTCAGCAGCTCACAGGCCCCTCCCACATGATGGCAGGACCTCGGCTCTACCTTACTGTTTCCTGGGTTATTTCTGACTGTCCCCAGAGTATGCCACATCCCACAAGCGCAGCAATCCTCTGCGCTTCCTTTGCAGTGATCCAAGCCAGCTGTTGGCAAACACTCTAGGGGCACGCTCACAATGCCCCCAGTGCCAGTGGTTCATGGGAGACAGACGGCCTTCTCCCCAGGGTGCTGCCAGACTCCCTCCTTCCATGCCCCCAACTCAGAAAACACTTGAAGCAGTGTGCTGGCAAATATTTAACAACCAGTTCTCTGGACAAAAATAAATAAATAAAATAAGCTTATTATAAATTTTACTGATATAAGGGTTATTATGTAGCACGATTCACAAATAATATTCTCCAAAGCCAGTGTGTGCCATGATTTTGCACAGCCTGCCATATAAAAATGGTTTTTACATTTTTGAATGATGGAAAAAAATCAAAAGAATAGTATTGCACGACACATGAAAATAATATGAAATTTAAATTTCAGTATCCACAAGTGACGTTAGTACAAAAACACAGCCTCACTCATGCATTTATGTATTGTCTATGCTTTTGTTCTGTAAGAGCAGAATTAGTTATTGTGACAGAGACTGTATGGCCTGCAAAGCCTAAAACACTATCTGGCCGTTTACATAAAAATGTGCCAGCCCCTCCTCTAGACAATCAAGAAAACAATCAAGCTCTAATTTTTAGCATTTGCCAATTTCCATGGTGTAAATACTCCCACTGTGCCAGGGTCAAGCTTGCCATCACTGAACGTGGAATTAGGAAGGATGCATAGTAGTGTATCATTACATAGTATTTCCACCATATAGACAACAACAGATGTAAATAAGCATAGATCGTAGTAAGGTGTAGTAAAATGATTAAGAAATAATTAATTTTGATTATTCATTACCTTTGTTCCTCATATAACTCATTCAATTGTAGGTTTACATAGTTTAATAATGATTCTGTTTAACAACCAGCTTGCAAAATTCTTGAAAATTTAACAATTGGGTCTTAGGAGCCAGCCCCTACACACCACTGATTTGGAGGAACCAATGGCATGTCAGGGGTGGCAAGCCTTTGTGGCTCCTCTCTGCACCAGGTTCCACAGAAATGGGGCAGAAATCTGTGCCCCATTCTGCCACCGATGTCCTGAAGAACAGCACTTCTTGTCTTCTCTATCTTCGAAATGCATATTTTTATCCACAGCCTTCTCTATCTTCAGAGCACCAATCCAACCTTCTTCCTCTCCTTCCGTGTACACAGCCTCCTCAAGGCAAATCTCCTTCCTCCAAAGACGTACAGTTATCTGGGAGAACCCTAGGTGGGAGAATCACCTGTCCTTGGAGTCACCAAACACAGCTAGTGCCATGGTCTGCCTGTTGGTGTCCTCCCAAAATGCATATGGAACCTGATGCCCAATGTGATAGCATTTGGGAAGAGGGGCACGTTTTGGGGAGTTATCGTCGTGAGGATGCTACCTTCATGAATGCGATTAGTGCCTGTATAAAAGAGGCTCAAGTGAGCTCCTTCACCCCTTCTGCCGTGTGAGGGCACAGCAACAATGAGCCATCTTGAAGCAGAGAGCAGCCCTCGCCAGACACTGAATCTGCTGACACCTTGATCTTGGACTTCCCAGCCTCCAGAAATGTAAGCAATAGATGTCTGTTGTTTATCGATCACCCAGTCTATAGTATTTTTGTATAGCACCCCAAATGGACTAAGACAGCTAAACTCTGAGTTTCATCTCAGGTTTATAGGAACAAGCATCCTGACAATATTATAAACCTAATGTAATTCCAAGTTTTTAAAAGTAGAATTTTTTGGAACTCCAAAATAAGCAGTTAGAAGTTCAAGAATGCTGAGAATAGGAAAACATTTTTATCAGATATTAAAATATAAATAATAATTACTAATATATAATACTATAGAGAAATATTCAGATTAGTGTTATAAGAAGTTGAGAAATGGACTCCAGGGTAAGTAATCAGTGTCTGATATAAGTAATATTCTTAATGGGAGAAACAGATTTTAAAAACAAATAGCATAGAGAAAACTGGCTGAATTTCAGGGATGAGGTAGAAAAGTATATTAGATCTTTTTGCTATTTGCCAAAATTGTTCCACATATATTTAATTTTTAGAAGTAAAAAATCAAAATAAATGTATTGGGAGGAATTATAAGTATATACATAAACTTTGTGTGCAAATCGCTTTCTACGTGTGACAACAAAGGCAAAACCCATCAAGAAATTTAACAAAAGAACCATAAGGAAATAGGAGACAAACGATAAACAAGAATCATATTTCAATACAGGACAAAGATAAGTGAATTCAGAAAAAAGATTAATCATTTATATATAAAAGATTCTTAGAAATAAATAAGAAAACTTCAAACAGCAATGAAGAAATTGAGATAAACACAGGCAATTCACAAAAAGGATAGATAGAAATGGTCAGTTAACATTAAAAATAATCCTTATAGTTTTCAAAGGAATATAAATAAAAATCACAAGATACAATTTTTCTTTAATCAGGTTGTCAAAAGTTAAAAGTATGGACAAAACCCAGTACTGTGAAGGATGTGGGGAAATGAGCACTCTCATGCACTACTGATGGGAGTGTAAATTAGTATTTCCTTCCTGGATCTTTTGACAGTACCAAGAATAGGAAGTGCACATGCCTTTGAGAGCAGCAAACCCATGCCTAGAAGTGTATCACTTGTGGAGAAAAGACATGGCCTGCAGTATTATTAAAATAGTGAAAGAAGGAGAAACGATCAAAATGGCCAATAAAGGAGTGGTTAAAGTTTGTATTTTTTTTCTATAAATAAGGGAAGACCAAAGTTTAACCCTTTATAGTGGTGTCAATATGTATTTCTCGATAACTGAGGGTGTCTGTAACATCCTGCTACATGGAAAACAGGCTACAAAACTGTTTGAGCATGTAGCAGTATGTTACAGACATACCATGTTAGAGCATGCTCCCAAATACGTCAACTTGCCAATGTCTGTGTGTAAATAAGCACAGAGAGCCATCCAGAACAAAGTCGAGTGATGAGAAGTCCGGTGATTTTTGCTTTTATTGTTTTGTGTGGCATGTATGTGATATCTAGCG